CCACTCGAGGTAACGCAGCGCGAGGGCAACATCCAACATGAGAACACCTGCACAAATTTGAACAGTCCAAAGTAACCCCTAAAGATTTGATCCAGGCAGCTCAAACAAAGTCTGCAGCGCAAGGCAGGGCCGGATGTCACGAATGAAAACCTGCTTTGCAAATAAGTAACATAAATCTGCGGTAGTTTTCCCAGCTGCACTGATGATTCCCACTCCTACTCGCAAGCAGAACTCGGACGACTGAGGGATGAAACAGAGACTGCTTCGCACGTTCATTTGTAGTTGCTCGGACTGTCTTCTAATATTTCTTAACTTCGCCTCCGCCGATGCGTCGCGTTATCATCATGCCAAAAAACCTGTTTGCCACATTGCAACTGTATGATTTAAAAGAAAAAACTGTGACAGCTTTTTTAATTCCTGTCGATTTTTTGTAGGAAACTGCGACACTCAGTGAAGCTTCTGTATGTACCAACTCAAACAACCACCGCTTAGAAGATATTCACAAAATGAGAAATGCTTGCAAAAAAAGGCTGACCTGTAGTGGTATATCGAGCTTGCGTAACGCAGACTTCTTCAGTGGTACATTCTCAAGCTCAACTTGTCCTGAAAAAACAAGTTATTAGAACCTGTAACGCAATAATAGAAAGTCAAAATACAAATGGTCGTCCCTGGTTCCATCAGTGGCTAAGGGCAGCGAGTATTACTTAACAGGATTGCACACAACACAATGGACCGAAACATTCCTCTTCAGTTATTCTCTAGTTATTTTTTCATACTTCGTCCGCTTGCTACTCTTTTCTCTGCTGTTTTTTTTTTTTTTTTTTTTTTTTTAAATCACTCTTTAGCACTGGAAGTTCGGTGCTCCTCGATATTTCTAGTTATAGGCGATGCGCATTTCTCATAAAACAAAGTGTGATATAGTTCGCTAGCGAGTAAGTCAGATAACCAGAAACAACTTAAATATGATAACATTTCGCATCAGAAGAAGATACGAAGCTAACGCTCCTATCGGAACACAAACGCTGGTCACAGAAGCTTAAATGAACTTAAATTAAGTCCCTGTTGCGTTACCACCCAATGGTCAAGCTCTCAGGGGCCCATATTCTGCCTCGGCGAAGATGGACAAAATGAAACACAGCGCCTTCTTAGCATGCTTGTAGCTACAGTGGTTTGCTTGTATGTTTCACTGTACCATAGTTACTGCCTAACTTGATAATCGATGCTTCCATCACGGCGAGATGTCCGAACTACTAAGTTAAGCTCCTGCTATGAAAGTAAGTAAGCACAGTTTCGAATGCTTAAAACTCTCCCCTTCCCCTACCCCGCCGACTGCCCCAACATCCTTTATATTTCTTTTATGTCCCTTTTACCCTACAATTTTTTTTTTTTTTTTGTTTTTACAGTAATCTCGTATTGTTTTTCCGGCAGATGCTTCGAGCTAAAAGAATTGAGACTGACTGCCACAGCTGTGAGAAAACATTCCCTTAAAATTTTAGCTTCTACTTTTTCTAGCTCCAGAGTTAACAACTTTCCCGCAGAAAACTTTCACGGACCTGTACGTGGGAACTACGTAAGCAAGGGTGTCTTGACCCGCACGTGGGAACTACGTGAGCAAGGGTGTCTATTTTGGGGGTGGGGGTCAGCACACGTATGTAAATTAAGTATTCAAAATTTCAGCCCTGTAGCTTTTGCAGGTCTCGAGATGAAAAATCGGTATAGACGAAAATACAAACAAACAGTCACCCACACAAACAAACTCTCGAAATATGCGTTTTTGCATTGCATAGATGCAAAAAAAAAATGCATAAAAATAAACTGCAGCACGCCCCATGGCAGCCGGTGTAATCATGCGTTTTGTGCAGTTCAGCCCGGCATACGGCTGTTGTTAAGAATATTCAACGCTTTACAATTTCGTAGAAAATACAAAATTCTAAACACCCCGTGAATGAAACGTAGGCCTTCATGAAAGTTAGGTTTGAAATTGTTGATTCGCACATGAAGAGAAAACAGCCATCAATAATTTTAGCTTCTAATTTTGCCCAGTTTTCGAACGTAAAATTTTAACTTTTAGTACTTGAGACATAAACTTGACTGAAAGCTGAATTTGAAATTCCAGGGTTGTATATTCAGAGGAAACACCACAGTAAATCTCCAGTTTTCTACCCTGTCAACTTCCGATGCCGAAAAATTCGCGCCAAAACTCCCACGTGCCCGTACCTGAGGCTTTGGCGTGAGGGCTGAATTCAAATTTTTGAGACCGGACACAGACTTCGAATATTACCTTAAAATTTCGGTTTCCTGGCTTTGAGCCATTATTTTTGGCGCCAGAATTTTTGCAGCCGTACGTGAAATCTAAGCATACGCAGGGGCTGAATTTAAGTTTACGAAATCACACGCGGGTAGAGGGCATATCTTCCAAATTTCAGCTCGCTAGGCTTTCTAGTCCCCAAATTAACAGTTTTGGTAACAAAACTTTTGCATGACCGCACGTGCATTCGCGAGATCACAACTAGATGGAGAACATTCCTCCTAGATTTTGGCTTCCTAACTTTCGTGTTTTTGGGGTTATCAATTTCGGCGCCAAAAATTCTGTTTGGACGTACGCAAGGTTTAGGCATATGCGAAGGGCAGAATCAAAGCTTACGGGTTCAAATGCGAGTAAGAGATATCATCCCCAAATTTCAACTTCCTGGCTTTCCTGGTTCCGGAGTTATTAATTCTGGCGCCAGAACTTTCACGCAGTTGTATGTAGTTTTGGCACCAGAATTAATAACTCGGGAACCAAAGAAGCTAAGAAGCTGAAATACGGGGACGCCGCAGTCATACATAAAATCTAGGCGTAAGCTAGAGCTGAATTTGAGTTTACTAGATCACACCCGGCTAAGAGACATATCTTCCATGTTTCAGTTTCCTAGATTCTTTAGTTCCCAATTTGTTACTTTTGATATCAAAAATACCCAGGAGTAGGGGAACGCTGAAATTAAGTCTGTAGCGTCAAATATGGACGGGGAACATAACCAAAATTTTCATTTTCCTAGCTTTTACAGTTCCTCAATTGGAAGTTCCGAACAAAATGCACTCGTACACACACACACACACACACACACACACATACACAGACAATATGCGTTTTGTGCAACTGTTGCAAAGCAAAAAAAACACACAATAACTTATTAGTACCTTGTAAGAGAGCGATGCTCAGCTGGTCAGTATTCAGATTTTCGAGGTACTCGCCAACGTAATTGTTCAGCACCCAGGCCACCAAGTTCTCCAGCATGGCGGCTCACTGAAATACACATTATTTCAGACTACGGTGGGCAACTACAACGTAGGCTGGAACGCACCAGGCGAGCCGGAGCGATCATGCGTTTTTGCACAAAACTTGAA